TTTGAAAAGACCCAAATAGGGAAAAACAAAATGGTCTTGCCCTCAGATGGAGTTGAAAGGGTGCGGGGGGCCTGCTACCAGGTGTGGGGGCTCACACAGACCACCTGCCCTGCGAGGAGCAGGAGGCCTCAGACCCTGGGGCCCAGAGGCTGTCACCTTCCAGGAAGCCTTGATTTCTGTAGTGTCCTCATCTGTGAAGGTGGGGAGGAGACTGTCCTGGGTGTTTACTGAGGCCAGTTAGCCCACTGGTACTTGATTCCTGCTGAGGTGCCCTCCTCTCCTGTCCAGAGACCCTTCTGCACCCAGGCTGCCGCTTTCCAGCTGTTCCAGAAGCTGGCTGCTGGGTAGCAGTGGTTCTCCCCTGGCTCACTGGGGACCGCCTTCTACTCCTCCGTTTTCACCCGGCATCACGTGACTTCACCAGGGGGGCCCTGGTGTCCTGGCATCTTTCAGTGGCAAGAGGCAGGCACCTCCTCAGACGCCCTCCAGGCAGAGGTTTTCTGGGTAGAGTCAGGGGGGTGTGTGCACCATGGACCCCACGGACAGGAAGCTCGCCAGGCCTCTCTAGGGGTGGAATTGGAGGACCAGGTGAGTTTCTGTGTCTGTGTGTGCTTCCTGTCTGTCCACGCAGTCTGTCTGTACCACTGGCCTCTGCCTGTGTCTCTGTGTGTGTCTCAGGGGCTCTGCCTCTTTGTCTTTCCCTTTGACTCTGTTTTCTGTGTTTCTTTCCTCTCTGTCTCCGTCTTTGCCTTTCCAAGTCTGTAGCTTGGCTGAGGCAAGTAAGATGCCCAGGGCATGGCATTTAAGGAGGCGCTCACTCTTGGCTGCTGACCCTGTCCTTGCATGAGCCCCAGAGTTGAGTGCTTCCTTAAATGTGTGTCCCTGGCACCTTGCTTGCCTCGTCCTGGTCCAGGCCCTGTTTTTCTCTGTCACCCCTCCTTCTCTTTGCCTCTCTGGCTCCCTCCTAGAGCTGAGTGCGTGTCTCTCTTATCACATGGTCTCTAGTCTCTGCTCAGCTCCAGCGTCTTGATCTCCCTGCTCCTCTGGGCACATGGCTGAGGTGGCTTGCTCCCCAGTCCAGCAGTTCAATTTTAAATTTCCTGGAAGCAAATGCAGCCCAGCTCGGGTCAGCCACTCACCCCTTGTCCAGTCAGCTGTGGCCAGGGGCTGGGGTCCCCCAGCCCTCAGCAGGGGCTTGAGAACAGGCTCCCTGAGGTGGGACGGCTCAGCAGGAGGCCCTCTTGGCATGGACCCCCAAGTCCCTCACTGCTTTGCCCCAGGTTTGCCTGGAAATTATGGAAAAACAGAGTCAGAACTAAGTTTGAGAACAGAAAAGATAGGCTCCCCTCCATCCCCTAACCCCCGTCTCTTAGTTCTTTAAATGTCTTGAATGTCAAATTGCCTCCTCCTCAGGCAGCCTGGTTCTTCCAGCTGCATCTGCAGAAGAACCTGTCACCTCCCGTTCTGGGTTCCGGTTTTAGATGCCTGAACTGTGTGATGAGAAGAGTCTGCTGTCTCTCACCCACTCACATCCCAAATGCTTCAATCCAGGGAGCGGCAGGAGGAGGGGCAGCAGCCTTGACTCTGGGGATGAAAGAAGGCTTGAGGAGGGCTGGGGGGTCTCCAAACGGTCCCATTTGGGGCGTGAAGACCACACAGGCCCAGGCAAAAGGAGCCAGAGTCAGCCCGTGGGGATGGAGAAGGCTGAGGGGTACCGCCCAGTGCCATGTATCTGGTGGGGCCTCAGCAGCTGTTTTCTCCAGTCCTCTGGGTGGTTCTTAAACAGCAGCAGGAGGATTGGGGGGAGATGGAGCAGTGCCATTCGGGAAGGTGTGGTGATGGAGCGTTGGGGTCATTTCTTGCCTCACTGGGAGATGTCAGCCAAGGTGGGGCGTGGATGCAGAAAGGCCTGGGGATGACCTTGGGAGCTCGTGCCAAGTGGCTGTGGAACTGGAGGCTTTGGGCTTCAGTGCACAGCCTGGATACCTTGAGGACCTGCTCAGGCTTAGAGCATTCTTGCCGCAGCCAGCAGGGCCCTGCACCCTGAGTCTAGGCTCTGCCTTCAGCCAATGTGCTTCTGAGAAGACAGGACCCAACTCCCAAGCTTTGCTGGCCACCTGCAGACAGAGAGACTATCCTAGCAGAGAAGGCTCCTGTGAGCACTGGGGAAAAGGTTATGCAGATACCAAACCAGCCATAAGTTACTTTTATATGATAGAATCCAAGCCTGTGCCATTTTTCTCCATAATCCTTTGTTCATTCATTCATTCGACTAATATTTGCTGAGCTCCTACTAAGTGCCATGCTTTGTGCCAGGTGCTGGGGATGCCGAGGTCCCCAGCAGGGAAGTCAGGTCCTACGTAAACAGAGAATTATGGCGGGAGAGGATAGACTCCTACAGCAGGGCACTCAGAGTGCTGTTGCAGCACAGCCAGGGCCGTTAATTCTATCCGGAGCCAAAGGAGCCTTCCTAGAGGAGGTGACATTTCTCTTGAAGGTTGAGTGAGAGTTTTCCAAATGGGAAAGGAAGGCCATCTCAGGAGGGCCTGGCTAGCTCGCAGAAAGATGAGAGGTTTGGGGCAGAGGGTGATGGCAGGAGGGGATCACTGTGGCTGGAGGAGCGGGTAGAGCAGCCCTCTCTATCTTGGCGTCAGCCTGGCCCAGTTGATTTCTTAAACTTGCAGCGTTCGGCCCTCGTTGAGCCTGCTGCCAGAGCGGCTTCTGTTCGCCCCCAACTTGATGTAGGATGAGGCCCTGCACTGGGGTGGGGTAGGAAGCTGGGTCTTGGAGGACAGAGGTTGTGTCTCCTAGGAAACGGCTGCTCTGCCAGAACCCAGGGTGTTCTGGGGGAGCGGGGAGGGGCCCGGAGCCCAGCAGCGCTCAGGTTGCACACATCACCTTAGCAGTTTGTGGGCAAACCCTCTTGGCCGAGGGGAGATTGCACCGCCTGCCACTTCCTCCAGTTCCTTCCCTCTGCCTGTCGTCACGGTTACCTCTGCTTTGTTGGGGGTGAGGTTGAGGTTGGGCGGAATCAGTTTTGTCCAGGTTTCTATTTTCCCAGATGCGGGTCAGCCAGAGGAGCTGTCACTTCTGGTTCTGTTTCAAAGGAGGCTGAGGGGCTGGGAGGTGCGTGGGCGCGGCCGTGTTGACAAGGCACCTCTCCAGCCAGCCTCCCAGGCGCAGTGCGAGTGGGGCAGAGAGGAGCTCAGAGGTGGTGGAGAAAGAGAAGGGGCTGCCCTGCCAGGGGCTGTGATAATGGCCTTGGGTGCTGGTCTCCGGCCCAGGCCCTGGGTCCTGACCTCCCAGAGCATGCTGGGAGTGCATGGAGAGAAGCTGTTTATTTTCCTGGCCCAAAGCCCTTTCGGCTGAGACCTTGTTCCAGGTCTCGGGCTGCCAGAATCACCCCCACTGGCTCGAGAAGTGAGAGAGTTGGCAAGCCCAGAGCAATCCATGACCTCTCTAATGGCCTCTGACCCTAGGCTGTCCCCACCCCAGCTGGCGTGTGTCCTCCAGATTCTCCTGCAGGTAACAGACCATGAGAGGCATCACATCAAAGTAATCCTGGTGGGCTGAGCCAGTGGGCAAGAGCAGGAAGGTTGAAGTCACAGAAATCCGAGTTGGAATGCCGACTGCGCCATTTCCTAGATCAGTGGTCGGCAAACTCATTAGTCAACAGTGCCAAATATCAACAGTACAATGATTGAAATTTCTTTTGAGAGCCAGATTTTTTAAACTTAAACTATATAGGTAGGTACATGGTTATTAACTTAATTAGGGTACTCCTAAAGCTTAGGAAGAGCCACACTCAGGGGGCCAAAGAGCCGCACGTGGCTTGCGAGCCGCAGTTTGCCGACCATGGTCCTAGATGAATGGCCTTGGATATATTGAACTGCTGAGCCTCAGTATCTCCATCTGTCCAATGGGACGGTAATAGGACCTTCATCATCAGACATTTTGAGAATTATGTGGCCTATATTTAAAGCATTTAGCAAAGTAAGCAGCAAGCAGCAGCTCTTGTCATTATTAACTAGAAGCCCAGCACACAGAATCATGCATGACCCGCCACCTCCGTGAGCCGCCCCCGCCCTCCAGCGCCATGCCAGCCGCTGCTCGCGGTGGTGGTGGTGGGGAGAAGGGACCGAGAGGTGCTCACTGCACCGCATGGTGACCGGTCGTTTGGTTGTCCTGGTCGTCATGGACACTGGCTTTTTTTTATATATAGATGACACAAGAGCTGCTGCTTCGACTGAAAGCCAGTATTGGTGGGCAGAGTTTCCTCCTTCCCATGTCCTGGGCCCTCTTTCATGCATGGTGCATTTCCTAACTTGTCCTGAGGAGAAGTAAGTCCAGAGGCTCAGGAGGCCCTTCTGCCTGTGTCTTGTGCAGGGCACTTTAGGGAGCCTTGGGACCCTGGGATGCAGGTGGGTGTCCTGAGGGAGAACATGCAGGTAAGAGAGTTAGAGCCAGGTGAGGAGGCTGGGAGACTGTTTAGTTGACAAGGAGATAAACCCAAGTGTTTAGAAGGACCAAGAGGGAGGAAGAAGGTACCTCAGGGAGGTGAAGGCAGAATGCAAAAGCTGCACCCACGCCCAAGGTGGTTTTGAAGGAAATGCCTGAGAACTGCTGGCCTGGAAAATAGTGCCCAGAGGGCTTGGGCTGGGCAGAATAGCAGACCATCACCGTTGGGTGCTACCTCTGTGTGAGGAGACTCCCAGGTTCGGGCCTCCTGAACTCTGGCAGAACCCAGGCAGCCCTGCCCGCCTGGCACCCTGACTTCCCCCAGGGGTGCCCACCTGCTCCAAGATGGTCCTTGGGCTGGCTGGGCAGTATTTCCACGTCACCAGCTGAGAGGCCAGGGAGCTGGCAGACAGGGACGGCTCCCTCACTGCTGAGACGTGAGTTAGGAAGCGGATTGTCCATCTGCCTGTCTGTGTGGCAGGAGGGAAGCTCTGCTCCAGGCCTGTCTCAAATGTCTAATCAGTGGCTCTCGGCCCTCACAGCTAGACGAGGAAGAGGAGCGGAGGAAAAGGCGCCGGGAAAAGAACAAAGTGGCGGCAGCCCGATGCCGGAACAAGAAGAAGGAGCGGACGGAGTTTCTGCAGCGGGTGAGCAGGGCAGCTGGCCGGGCAGGGAGGGGGCTGTGTGGATCAAAAGATGTCATCAAACGCTGCAGGAATCGATGTGTTCCTGCTCTCCCCTGCCCCCGTCTGATGCCCCATCCTGAATCAGGACCGCCAAGGGCAGCCTGCAGCAGCTCCAGCCCAGCCCACCCAGATCCCTGGGGGGCCAGAGAAGGTGGGAGCAGCCACACTCCCTCCACTGAGGTTAGACCCTGGTGCTGATGGACCCAGTTGGCCCAGGACTGGTACTGCCCATTTTGGTACCCTGGTGGCTACCAAAGTTGTCTAGGGTGGGTGCTGGTGAAGTTGGTGATAACACCATGCACATGGGCCATGGACACAGACACCTGGGCAGAGAAAAGCTCCTCCCTTAGCTGCAGGAGGCTCTTCCAGCTCTGCCCCCAGCTGGCTGGCCTCTGCTCCTGCCCCCGGGGACCAGAGTTCAGCTCTGATGCAAAGGCCAGAGGTGGGCTGCCTTTCCTCTCGGCCCTCAGAGCAGGCCCCTGCCCTTTCACTGGAACGTACCAAGCAGGCGATTGTTCTTTCTCTGCTGGGTCCCATCAGAGAGGCCTTTCCTGATTCTCAGAAATGGCAGATGGCAGTGAAGGAACGTGACCAGAGAGTCCAGGCCAGCGATCTCCAGCTCCCCCGCCCCCAAGCCCTTCTTCATTTCTAAATAATAAGGGTAACAATATATAATGATAACGGCATGGGCCAGGCTCTGTTCTGCAGCATGCAACAATGAACAATAGTTGCTAACTTTTGTAAAGTGGAGCACTGTGCTAACTGCTGCGTGTCTGTTATCTCATTTTATTGGCATAATAACTATGAGATACATGCCCTCATGATTCTCTTTCTGCAGATGGGGAAACTAAGGCATGGCAAGGTTAGTTTGCCCAGGTCCCTCAGCAACTAAGTGGTAGAACTGAGATTCGAGCCCAAGGTTAACTTCAAAGTATTTGTTCTTAACACTCTGCTGTACTGGCTCTAGTGCATTCATTCATTTGTGCATTCATTTCGTTGTTTGTTTATTCTTTTACTCATCTACTGATTTGTTGACAATTATTTTTTAAAAATATATTTTTATTGATTTCAGAGAGGAAGGGATTGGGAAAGAGAGATAGAAATATCAATGATGAGAGAATCATTGATTGGGTCCCTCCTACACACCTCCCACTGGGGATCGAGCCCACAGCCTGCAACCCTGGGCATCTGCCCTGACTGAGAATTGAACTGTGACCTCCTGGTTCATAGGTCGACGCTCAACCACTGAGCCATGCTGGCTGGACAAGTATTTTTAAGAATGTACGAGGTGCCCAGCACTGTGCTATGTACACTGGGGGATACACATGCAGGAGCAGACATGGTCCTTTCTGTGGGAGGTGCGGAGAGAAAGCCAGGTTGGCCAACAAAATGCCACGGCGTCCCTGTGATAAACGCATGTGTGAAGCAAGGCGCCACACACCTGCTTGGTCTTCCCATGTGATGCAGGTGTTCACACATAAGGCTGGGTTGACATACATTCATTTTAAGGAGGTGGATCTGTGCACAGTACTGAACGCTGCATGTTGGGCCCTGACCCTTACGTGTCCATTTTTTAAAATTTATTTTATTTTTTATTGATTTCAGAGGGGAAGGGAGAAAGAGAGATAGAAACATCAATAATGAGAGAGAGTCATTGATTAGTTGCCTCCTGCACGCCCCCTACTGGGGATCAAACCTATAACCTGGGCATGTGCCCTGACAGGGAATTGAACTGTGACCTTGTTCATAGGTTGATGCTCAACCACTGAGCCACACCATCTGGGTTATGTAACTTCCACTCACTGTACCTACCACCTATTCCCTTCTCTGTCCTTCCCCACCACTCTCCAGAACAGCCCCTCCCCAGGCTCACAGGCAGCTCTCGTCCCTGTCTCTCATTCTCCAAGACCTGCCAAGCTTCCCTGGAAATCCTCCTCCTCTTCTCCCCCTTCTCTTGCTTCCTGTTCTCTTGCTCACTGCTTAAAGTAAAATTCCTTAAGCCTCCCTAACCCTTTCCCACGCGAGTCCAGGATCATCACCTTTTAAAAAAAAATATATATATATTCTATTGATTTTTCACAGAGAGGAAGGGAGAGGGATAGGGAGCCAGAAACATCGATGAGAGAGGAACATCGATCACCTGCCTCCTGCACACCCCGTACTGGGGATGTGCCTGCAACCTAGGTACATGCCCTTGACCGGAATTGAACCCGGGATCCTTCAGTTCGCAGGCCGACGCTCTACCCACTGAGCCAAACCGGTTAGGGCGGGATCATCACCTTTTTACCAATGAGAAAACCAGGGCTTGGAGAAGTTAAGAAACTTGCTGTGGACTCTTATTTGAAATCCTAAAGCTTTTTTTAGGCTGGCTCCACGCCACCTTCCCAGCTTTCTACGTACCCCACTCTGTCCTAAAATGACCAGTGGTCATGATGGGCGACTTTATCTCCTAACCACATCGTAAGCGTTTCCATGTCTGTGTCCTTGTTCACTCGGGGCTCCCTTCCTGCAATCCCTCACTCCCACCACCTTCTCTCCTCAACCAGAGAGTCCACCGGTTTTCCAAACCCAGCCTCAGACCTGGCCGTTCAGTCCCCTCCGAAGGTCTCCCAGACGCAGCCTGGCTGACGGGCACGTAGTAGGCTCTGCCTTACTGTGTGGATTCTTCTTCCCCTCAGAGTGGAAGCCATACGAGAGCCGTGTTGGGGGCTCACGGGCTGGGTTTCTCTGGAGCCCTCCTTGTGCACACAGGTCCTCAGCAGATGCTCATGGGCGTGTGGGGCAGAGGCTCAGAATGACCCAGAGTCAGAGCCTGGGCTGGGGAGAGCCAGATGGGCAGCGGGTTGGTGAGATTCCCAAGGTCAGCAGCTCCTCAGACTCAGGGAGCCCGTGGCTAAGATGCCCACCTCCCGGCCCCAGACTGACGGGTCAGGGCCTCATGGTTTCACGTGGGGTTGCTCCTGGCCCTCAGAGGTGGACTTCTCTCAGGGTTTCCGAGAACAGTGGCCCAGGCCAGCCCCCCTGTGGTACCTCATCCTGTTGAACTAAAAACCACCATAGCTGAGTTTTAATATTTTCCCGCTGAGCAATTTTTCCCCTTTCTGTGAAGCTGTTCTCCCTCAGCATCTAGTCACGAGGACCACACGTCTCCGCAGTCCCGAGGTCCCTGGACGCTGACGCTGGCCCCTCAGGGACGAGCACAAGGCACAGCTTAGTCAGACCGGCGGGTGTGGGGAAGACAGCGCCCAGGGTGTGTGTGCCCCCGCCCCCCCGGGGAGGGCAGTCATGGGCCCGAGCCAGGGCCACACGGCCTGTTGTCACACACACAGTTGCAACCGCAGCATGTTCTCTGTCTAATACAGGTTGCTCAACCTCAGCACTGTTGACACTTGGGACAAGACAGTTCTTTCTGTGGGGCCACCCTGGGCACTGCCAGGCAGGCGTTCAGGAGCGCCCTTGGCTCCCGGCACGAGGTGCCAGGAGCAGCCCCCTCGCCAGTTGTGACAACCGAAAACATTGTCAGATGTCTCCTGGGAGGCAACATGGCTCCTGGTTGAGAACTACTGGCCTAAAACTTTGCCGGCCAAAGTTGAATAAATTCCAGCTCCCAGACTGGTGATAAGTTTTTAGACTCAGTCCAAGGAAAATCATTCAGGAGCTTTTCTGTTTTATTGTTTTGCTCCCCGAGGCTTTAATTGGTATGCCCCTCACTATCCACACGATAAACACACAAATCCCCAGATCAAACCAACATTCTTTCCTTTCCCCGGAGCCGCTCCAACTGAGCTGGAAGGTCGTTGGAAATCTCTCCTGAGGTCTAGTGGAAACCTCACTTTGGGTCAAGAAGAATGACTGTTATTGCCTCTCAATGGGCAAAGCTTCTAGCTAACAGGGTAGGAAGAAGCTGTTCAAACAATTATAGGCTAATAACCAGGGAGCACGTGTTGTAGAAGGAATTACACGACCATCCTTGTTCTTTCCATAGGCCGGAATTTCCGCAGCATGCATCTGTCACCCCTCAAAGCACTTGGCCATTTCCCTGCCACCCAGGGGCCACCTCTGTGGACCCTCTCTGCACCTGTTCTAGGCCCACTCGGCCTCCAGTCTTCTCCCACCTTTTGTTTCTTGTGCAAAAGCCCCGAAGCAGGAGAGTGTTGGGCATATTTGAATAACAGCAAGGAAGCCACTGTGTTTGGAGAGGACTGAGTGAGGGAGAGAGGTGGGACATGAGCCAGGCTGGCCCAGGCATAGCCTGCCTGGGTTCATCTCCCTGGGGACGCAGGGCAGTGTCACAGCGTGACGGACACTGCTTCCAGAAAGTCACTTATCCCAGGGGCTCAGGAGCAGGTTCTGTGCTTCCTCCAGTGGGAACCTGGCGGACAGAAAGCAGGGAAATGTTGCCCTAGCTGGTTTGGCTAAGTGGATAGAGCGTTGGCCTGAGGACCAAAGGGTCCCGGGTTCGATTCTGGTCAAGGGCAACTTTGGTTGCAGGCTCCTTCCTGGCCTGGGCCCTTCCCGGCCTGGGCCCTTCCCGGCCTGGGCTCCTTCCCGGCCTGGTTGGGGCTCGTGCAGAAGGCAACCAATTGATGTGTTTCTCTCACGTCGATGTTTCTCTCTGTCTTTCTCCCTCTCTTCCACTCTCCCTAAAAATCAACGGAAAAATATCCTCAGGTGAGGATTAGAGAAAGCAGGGAAATGCTAGCCTTACTCCTACTCAAAGGCTGAGCCTGTCCCCAGAGCCGGTCCCCAGCCCATGAAAGCTGACCGCCACGTCTCTGTGTTTGCGCACAGGAATCTGAGCGGCTGGAGCTCATGAACGCGGAGCTGAAAACCCAGATCGAGGAGCTGAAGCAGGAGCGACAGCAGCTCATCCTGATGCTCAACCGGCATCGCCCCACCTGCATCGTCAGGACCGACAGCGTTAAGACCCCCGACTCAGACGGCAACCCACTGCTGGAGCAGCTGGAGAAGAAGTGACCATGGGCTGGGAGGAGGAAGAGGAGGAGGAGGAGAAGATGGGGAAGGGAGGAGGAGGAGGAGGGTCCCAGAGGGCTCGTCCTTGCTGCATGAAAAACTCTTCAGTGAGGCTCAGCACAGCCAGCATCAGCCTGGCTTTTTTGTGAAACTCCGATCAGCCACACCAGGGGAAGAAACCCAGGCTGATGAAACCCAGGACCAAGCGCTGAGACCAAAGTAGTCCTGAGGGGGGCCTGTTCTGCCTGGGGCCAGGCTTGCAGGAGGCAGGACAGAGGCTCTGGGCCGGAGAGACGCCCAACCAGGCAGCTGTGGGCACTTCTCCGGCCTCTCCGCCAGGGCACCCACCCAAAGGACCTCTGAGCAGCCAGGAAAAGCCATGAGTTGCAACCAAAATTCGGCTGAGGATGGAACTCAAAGTGAAACTGCAGTCTGCCTGCCCCCAGCCCTGACCCTGACCCTGATCCCGATGCAAGGCTGGAGAAGGGCACAGTGCCAGGCCCTGCTGTACCCACCCACCGTGGTCCAGCTCGGTCCTGCCCGGAGTGGCAGCCGGGGCGCACCCTCGCCGGCCCTGCTGGAGTTGCTGTGGGCACGAGGCGCGGGCGCCCTTCCAAAGCACATACTCACTGAATGTTTACAGGCTGGCTGTCCTGGCAGGGCTTTCAACTGCACATGTTTTTTTATACTTTCTTTTGTTTTGTTTTTTTAATATTTTTTACAAAAAAAAGATTTTATACAAGCAATATATAAATGGATTTCTATAATCACTCGATGTGATACAGTATAAATATGCTATGGTTTGTTTGTTACGAACAGATATTCAGCAGTTATGGCCGTTGCGTGTAACTCCTAAGTACTGTAGTCTCTGGGTGTTGGGGGTGGCAGGGGTGGGGGTGGGGTGCATTTCCATCCTGGTAAACCCTTCATAGTACTCAGTCCTGTATCGTTCAGTAAACATTACTCTTACTTACCCAGCTGCCTCTTGTGGTGTCTGCCCAGGGGGTGGGGTGCAGGGCATGCTCAGTGGGCCTCCCAGTGTGTGGTGTACCAGAACGTTTGGAATATCTGCTGTAGGCCCCTTGGTTTGCACAGCAGCCCTCGCAGGTAAGTGTTGATGTGCCCATTTTACAGATGAGGACGTCGAGGCTCAGAGAAGTTAATGAAACCTGCAGTACTTCGTTTATTCGCTCCACAAATGTTCAGTGAGTGCCTCCACGTGTGTGCCAGGCACCCTGCAAGGCACAGGGCAGTCACTGGGGAATGAAACAAACCTAGGGCCAGCGTCGGTAGAGCTTCCAGTCCTGAGCTAAATCCTGGGCTTGCTGCAAACATGGTCTCAGTTCATCTTCACAACGGTTGTGCCAGGGAGCGGCAATGGCCGCCATTCGCAGGTGACGAATTAGAGGCCCTGGGAGATGAAGTTGCCGCCACCATTTGTTGGCTTACAGTGTGGCATATATGGTCTCGTTTACTTCTCCCAACGCATGAAATAGGCATCACTGCCCCATTTTACAAATGACTGAACTGAGAGGGCAAGTGACGTATCCAGGGCCACCCAGCTAGCGAGGGGCAGAGCTGGTGTCTGAACTCTGCCTCCAAGATCCATGACTCTCCACCTGTCGCCAACTGACTGTGTGGTTTTCCCCGTGGCTGGCTGTCTCATCTGATTAGAACAGGAAGCCTGTGAGGCCACGGTTTTACAGATTTAGTTTCCGGAAGGGCTGGATAGAGTTTCAGGCTATGTCATGTTCACGGAGTGACCCAGTGACCCAGGGAAATGCGTGCCTGACCCAGAAGACAGGGTGTGGATAACTCAGCCAGGTCCTCACCTCCGCAGCTGAATACATGTCTCCGAAAAGCAAGGGTGGCTCGGTGTGGTCGGCAATAATTGCCATCAACTCAGCACACAACAGTTCACCAGGCACTTCATGCATGTTACCTCATTTCCAATCACAGCCCTGTGAGGTAGGTGGGGTAGGTGTTTTCAGCTCCATTGTCTAGTTGTGCAAACTGAGGCTTACAAAGATGAAAGCTCACCCACCTGAAAAGAGGCAGAACTAGGAGCTGAACCCTGCTGTCCTACTTTCTATGGTGTATTCGCTCTTTTCCGTCACTGGGGCTAGATAACTAGTGACTGATGATGAGGTTCCAAGTAGCAATGACTGTGCCTTGCTTCCCAAATCATGAGTGAGGCCTTCTGGGATGGATGGGAAATGAGAATAGGTCATTATATGTTTGGTTCCTTACTCAACTCAAGTTCTCTTCACCCAACTGGTTTGGTGTGGGCTCCCTGAGCCCTGCCTTGGAAGCAGGGCCTGGTCAGCTCACTGTCAGCTGTGGCAGCCACGGTCAATCCTCAGGATGATAAATCCTTTGACATTTTTCAAGCTGTGAGAAAAACAAAGATGTAGACTTACAAGGGTCCCTCGAGTGACCTGGTAGAAGTTCCTGCCGCCTTCCCCTGGTCCTATGCTTGGATGCTGCGAGCCTGTACCTCCAGGATAGGGCCCTCCTAGCCTCTGCAGATGGGCTGCCTGCCAGGATCAGAGCTGTGCTGGGCCGAGGCCTGCCCTTGGTGTTTCTTCCTCACCGGGACCGCCCCTCCCTGGGGGTAGCCAGAGTCACAATCACAGTCTTCCTCATAAGAGCTGACGTTTGCATGTGTTCTGTGTCCCTGGCACTTAAATTTTATTATTATTACTAGAGGCCCGGTGCACAAAGATTCGTGCACTGGGGGTGGGTCCCTCAGCCCGACCTGCACCCTCTCCAATCTGGGAGCCCTCAGGGGAGCCCTCTCCAATCTGGGAGCCCTCAGGGGAGCCCTCTCCAATCCGGGAGTTTCTGTCTGTCTTTGCAATCATATGAGTGAATTGTCTGAGACCCCAACGCAGTTTGGTTTGTTGCTCACAGAATAATAGAGGCTTTTTTTTTTTTTTTTTTTGCTTTGCTTCATTGGTGGAGATTTCCTGGAAGTTTTAGGATATCTTACCCTTTAATTTTTCCTAGACACTCTGATTTTACTTATGTCTCTTCCCTTTGCCTTCCCTCCATCCTCCACCGCAACAGTAACTTGCTCCAGGCTCACTTTGCTCTAGTGTCTAGGTCTAGGAGATCCGTCTGCCACCAGAACTACGATTCCCAGCATTCCTGGTGCTCCCTGCACTCTTGGTTTCCCCTTCCTGCTCTGTCTCTGTTCCATGGCCTCCCACTCTGCCAAATCCTCCAAGCTTCCAGCTTTCCCTCTCTGCTCTCCATTTGGTGGCTTGGGGAGCCAAGTTCCCCAAGCCACTCCACTCTCTGTCGGCTCTCCCGCTTTGCTTTCCTACTGGTGCCTGTGCATGCAAATTAGCCCGTCATCTTTGTTGGGTTAATTTGCATACTCACGCCTGATTGGCTGGTGAGTGTAGCAGGGGGACAGTCAATTTACATGTTTCTCTTTTATTATATAGGATTTCTTTTTAGAGGGAGAGAGAAACAGCAATGTGAGAGCAAACATCAGTGAGTTGCCTCCTTCACACCCCCTACCGAGGATCAAGTCAGCAACCCTGTCATGTGCCCTGACTGGGAATTGAACTGGTGACCTTTCAGTACATGGGACAATGCCCAACCAATATAGCCATGCCAGCCAGGGCTGTGCCTGTCCCTTTAGGTGTGTTACTGCAGCCGGTCCATATGACCTTGCTGGGAGGTAGGTGCTATCATCTCCATGTTACAGATGAGACAACAGAGGCACAGAAAAGAAGTCACTTGCCCAAGGTCACAGTCCTACTGGGTGGCAGAGCCTGGATGTTCTTACAGTCTGACTCCAGGTGTACAAACACAAGGGCCAGGCCTCACCCTTTGGGGAAAGCTCTGTGTTTGTGGTGTGACCTCATTACAGTGAAACTTGTGGGGGGAAACATTGAGAATTCCCAACTCTCAGATACCCATCTCCAAATGGACGTAAGAAGACGTACTTTAAAGGTAAATGGGTTCAAAGCCAATATTCTGCTGACTAGCCATGAGCCTCACGTTTATCTGAAAGGTGGGATGTAACCCAAGCCTTGTTTATGGGGTTGTCAGGCTCAAGTGAGGAACGCATAGGATATTGTCTTGTGAAATACAAAACTCCGTAAGATGGTAATTTCTTGTCCTCTGTTAGTGTGGACAGTTCTTGATATTTACCACAGAATACAGATTATGCAAATACCTTTTATTCTCTAAATACCTTTTATTCTCTAAAGGTGGCTGCAGACAGAGTATGTGTTCTGGCCATGAGTCTGGTTCCCATGGTGATGAGTGCCTGGGATCCAAGACTCCTGGGTTTGTTTGGCTCCTGATTGGCCACAACTAGCTTTGTTGGGCTCATCATTCTTTCCGTGAGCCTCCCTACGCCCTCCCGCCAGGTGTCCTCTGTGCTGAGTGGCCATGAAAATCAATTGTGCAACATGAGAAGGATAAAGCTTAGTAGCAATCAGATGGGCAGACACTAGTACATATTGGCCAGGATACGGATTAAAGAGACCGCACATGCAGCGCCAGTGGGAAACTGGTGTGACTACCCTCTCAGGCAATTTGGCAATAACCAGCGATGCTAAAGCTAAGCGCATCCTTTGACCTAGCAATTCCCCTTCTCAGTACATACCTTGGAGGAACTCGAGCTTAGGGGCACAAGGCAATGGACAAGAATGTTCGCTGGCACTTTGTTTGTAATAAAGAGAAATTGGAAACAACCTAAATAGCTAGAAACAGAAGAGCAGGTAAACAAATTGTGTTTTCATAAAACCGAATATTACTCAGCAGTTAAAAGGAATGAACCAGGGCTACAGGCATCAATGTGGACAGATCTCAGATACAATGCTGAGCTGGAGTAAAAGGGGCAAACTGAAGAGGGACAGAGGCAAGTGTACCATTTATGGAATCTTCCTAAACATGTAAATTGGTATTTTACTGTTGATGGGTACCAACAGATCTGAGTACTAGAGGTAGAAAAGCTTGCCCATGAATGCTCTAAATAGCAAAACCGGTAAGGGGAGAGGCTCCTGGGGGTGGGAGAAGGGGAAGTGGGGATGGTATCTGCAAAGGTAAGGAGGACACTGGGTTTCAACTGTGTGTGCAACGTTTCATTTCATTCATGTCTAATCTGAATCAAATTAGAATAATGTTAGAATTTGTCAGAGGTGGGTGACGTGCTCACAGACATGGGTTATCGTCTCTCCAGCCTTCTCTGAATGTTTGATATTTTTCGTAATAAAAGAGAACAAGCCACAACACAAATAGAAGGTTTTGTTTTTCCACACGTTCCTTAGCCAACTCAGGGGAAAAAAGCAAAATCTGAAATTATGGTGGAGTTGCAGCAGAGGGTCTTTGAACTGATGCAGATTTAATTCTATGCCTAGAGGGAGAGAGGATTCCAAGAGTGTGGCTTGTTGAGCTGATCCCGGGATGAGGACACCTTGGGGCATGTTCATCTGCTCATTTCAGTGGATCCTGGTCCGTGCACTCAACGTACTGAACAATTGAAAGCGTATTCGAGGCTAATTTCGATCTACATTTTTTTCGTTTATATGCTGACTTTTTAACTCAACCCCTATGTAAAATGCAATCCACTGCACATGTAAGGCTAAAAGCAAAGCAAAAGGGAAGTGTTTAAATGACATGAATCAAGTTTTCACAGGTAAATTCATGTCCTCTTGCTGCTGTAACCAATTGCCACAGATATAATGGTTTAAAACAACACAAATTTTAATATGGTAGAGTTCTGGAGGTCAGGAGTCTAAAATGGATGTCACTGGGTTAAAATCAAGGTGTCAGAAAGCCTGCATACCTTTTGCAGGCTCTCAAAGAGAATCCATTTCTATATATATATATTATTGATTTCAGAGAGAAAGGGAGAGGGAGGAAGAGAGAGATAGAAA